TAGTATTGTGAATCGAACTCAGTGCCACTGAGCTATATCTGCATGTGATGGCCATATTTTGGTGTTGATACTAGACTAGGCATGGGCTGGTCAGCATGGAAAAGTTGATATATATTCTGGCAGAACTTACTGGCTATTTTAATTTCTTCTTAGTTATTCCATTTTGAATTTTATCTGGCAAACTATAGAAGGTTTGTCTATCTCACCAAGCAGATCAAGAGGATCTCAAAAAATGCCAGTTTAGATAGCTCTACAACTTCATGGAAAGGGGATTTCAACCAATTAATTTAATATATTGGAGATAGTGCCCGAGAGGCAAAATGACTTGTTCACAGGACTCCGATGTTGCAGTGTATCCCACATTGTGGCAGTTGTTCCACAAGGGGAGGGACTTGGTTTTTCTCATTGCTGCATCCCTGCTACTTAGAAGATTACCTGTCTCACGTATTTGTTCAACAAATGCTATTAAAGAAATGAATAAGTGATAAACAATTGTTGATCCTCAGCTGCAATTACAAATTAGGTAGGAAGTCTGAGGTCATCACTTGACTCCTGACATCTTTCTAGTGCTGTGCCTGGCCTCAACTTGGGGAATTGAATAAGTCATCTACATCCAGATCAAGGCTTCCCTATACCACTATTTCACTGGAAAGGACCAGTTGTGATGGATGGGTGTATATTCATTTCTAGGAGACTCTACCTTGGACCACACATGACCGTGAAATGGGTAATTTCTAGGGTCATTTAAGTTAGCTGTTTAGTACATAAAAAGTGCGCCTTTCACTCTTGTATGCCTGTGTTTTGTACAACATTTATACCAATAATAGAGACAACAAATCCTGTGGTTTGCCTGCCATTTAAATATCTGGTGCTGTGGAGCTTGACAACGTGGCGGGGCCAGAGGTAAGCAGACCTCCCAGATGAACTGAACTTGGAGTTCATTTAGGTGTTGTATCCACGCATAAGGCAGACACAGCTCACATCATCATTTACTTTTAATGTGTTTTTGTTTGTTTAGTCATTGTTCTTTCCTCACTCCTGTCTTCTTTTTCCTCCTTGAAGAACATTAAAAATGGTGAGGGAAACAGGAGTCATTCAGGTGCCTCTGAGAGTGCTGTTGTGGTTATCAGTTTGCAGGTAGCTGGAACATTACTGGTAACATGTAAAGCAGATAGAGGGGAGCCTGTGGACCACTGTAGGAGGCCAACAAAGCAGAGATTGAGAAGTAATCCATGAGAAGAAACCATGCTCATTAGCATATTTGTCATAACATGTATAAAAAGAAATTGGATTTTGATTATTCAGAATTGACTTGCCTCTTTACAGATTAAGTGTAATGACTCTGAGTCTCCTTCCCTCCACCTGCCAAGCTGGGTTTCAGGGTGGATAAGAATGAAGAGGGGCCAGGAGGGAGGTAGGGATGTGTGTGTGGCTGAGGGGGGAGAGGGAGAGACAAGAGAGGGGAGGAGAGAGAAAGAGACAGAGAGACAGAGAGACAGTGAGAGAAGGAGAGGGAGAGAGGGAGGGAGAGGGAGAGGGAGAGGGAGAGGGAGAGAAAATGTGAATGCGTGGATTGATTACATGTATTGTCTTCCACAGATGAATTTGATGAGTCCAATTTGACTATGTTTTGCATAAATGCTTTAGCAAGAGCTTATATATATTTGCAACATATAAATATTGTAAATTTTATATGTGTACAAATATGAAGAACTGTTAGAAAGTTGAGCCAAATTATTTTCTATTGAATGCATGTAAAAATATGTTTTGGGTGCTATTTCAGGTTGGAATTGATCTTAGGTGTTTTATATATTATGATTTTTATAAACCGAGCATCAAACCAAGGAGCACAAACAAACAGGAGCACAATTTGGGTTTTGCATTTACTTTCCTGAGTTTCATGTATATTTAGGTTCTTTTCTGACAAATTAGTTAAGAGATCGATAAATAAGGTAATAAAATGCAATTAGATGTTTATAATTTCACAGTGAATAAATAATAGACCATGCTAGTTACACCATTGTTTGTATCTATTTTATTTATGTTTTCAGTGCGTACCTCGCAAGATAAATTTTTCCCCAGACATCTAATTTAATCAGTGATGTGGCTTCATCTAGTCCAAATTAAATACTGCAATAATGAAATAAGGAACTCTTTTAATAAGGATCATAATGTAAGGGATGCATCATAGCTGTTTGTATATTTGTTTTTGCCCAGAATTCGTTGAAAATAAACTGTGTTTCTTTCAATGTACTGAATATTTATAAAATGAGATTGCCTGGTTAATGCTTTATGTTCGCTTCTAAATCACAATCTTACTGTGAGCCTAATCAGCAAAGTGTATACAGGTATTTTCTCTCTTAAAAGGTTGGACATATGCAGGTGTGGGGCAGTTGTGTATGAGCATATAGGCACTTGTAAAAATGGACCCTGATTTTGGCTGGGTATTTATTTATGTGACTTCTGCTCGGCATGGAACACCACTAACTGTCCCTTGCCCATACTCAGCATCTATGCACATGTCTTCTATAAAGACATGAGATGTGTCTTTTGAGTTGGCAAGGCAGCAATTACTACTTCAGAAGCCCATCTCTTCTTTTTTATTGAGCTCCCTAGACTGCAGCGTTATTAATACCAGGTACTCTTAGCCTCATGGCCTTTCTTATCCTAAGCCTTTTCCTTCACCCTACCTATTTCTTTTTTCCCCATCTGCTGAAGTAGCACCCTGAAAGCCAAATCCTACTGCCTGAAAGCCCAGTCCAAGGAGTTACATCTCTTGGAAATGATAACATTTCCTGTTTCAAACTGTGGGGAGGACTGAGGCCAGCTTTGGAAGGCATTAGAACAGGCTGATGGCAATGTCTGTCTCTTTAACCAGGTTCACTACCTGGCCATCTAAATGAGTGAGCAGGAGACTTACCTTTGTCAGTTATGCTTTAACCTTCGTGGCTCTAACCACACAGTTGTAATTGAAAAGATACATGTGGAGTTTATTCATGTGAGGTCTCTAGCCAGACTAGAGGGCCTGGAGTAGCTTGCTTATCACTGTATCTTTTCTCTCTAGAATAATAGCTGACTTAATGGTTCTCAAGAAATACTTGTTAAACTGATGAACATTTGGGGTAAGCTGGCTGGTTGTGACTGCAGTCCAGCTGACTGGACAAAGTCAACTTGCTCGTCTAGCATCTGCCCCATTACCTCATCTTCACTCTTCCCGGTGATGCCCTGTCAGAGAACCTGGCCATCTCTGGCCCGTACCACCCAGTCTCAAACTGAAAATTTCCCCCCTATTTCCAACCCAGTCTTCTCTCAGTGGTTGGAACAGGAGAAATCTGGCTAGAGTTATTCCTAGGCAGATCTTTAAGACTCTTTTGAGAATATCAGGTTGGATATTCACCCAGGATTGTGATGTAAGGCTTCTTTCTCTTCCTTGGGAGAGTTAATAGTTCAGAGCTGAGGGATTCTCTGAGTTGAATGACACCTGACAAGACCCAGCAAAGGATTTAGATCTGCTAAGTGTCTCCTACACCAAACATCCAGCTATTTCTACCCCTACTCCCATGCTTTCAAGATACCTAGTGTGGATTATGTTTATGGAGTCCAAATTTTGATAGGTCCTTATGTTGACTGAATAGATAGAAGTTCAACAAAATGAGTATGACCAGTTCTCTGAAGATTTGAAAGGGAGGAAATGGGGTCTCCTCTTGAGGGATGTGGCTTTGTCAGGGATTAGTGGTGCCATGTGGGATCTTGTTAATGGAGGGCACTAGGTCACCTGTATACAGTATCCTTTAAAGCACAGAATTTCTCACACGAAAGAGGCAATATTATGCACTATTATAGTGGTTTTGGCAGAGTGGGAGCTCCGGAGAAGGATGAGTCCCCAGTGTTAAACAAAGCTGCTGATTTCTGGTAGAATAAAAAATAGTTGTTCTGGGCAGATTCCTGTATAGTTGACAGAATCAGGAAACCTGGAAATGTCACCCAAATTTTTCTTCATTGCCAAATCTTTGCATTCTGCAGTACACAGCTGGCATCTCTTTAGGGTGGGTGAGGGCTGAGAACAGAGTCTATCTCTGCAGGCTGGGCCTCAGGTGTTCTTTCAGGGCTGCATGCTCTAAGATCATACTTTAATGTCCATCCTCCAGTTTGACTATTGGCTTGGAATGGAGTAAAGAATTATTATTATTTTTTTTTGGTACTGGGGATTGAATTCACAACTAACTGCATTTGCAAGGCAGATACTTATACTGCTGAGCTAAATACCCTGCCCTGGAGTAAAGAATTAGAACCAGTGACTGATTCTTTTAGACAGACCTGGCTATTTGCTGTGATGGTCTATTCTTTTGCCCTCCTTGGAGGTCCTTTCCTACTATCGAACCTGTAACTCTTTGGGGCTTGGATTTTGCTAATCTTTTGGCTGTGGGAATAGATACTCTGAATAACAGTGCAATGCCAGTGCCACATCACCTCTGAGCATTGTCCCTGGGAACTTTATATCTTCTTTCTGTCCCTCTCCCCTGTATTCTAAGGGAGTATGAACAGGAAACCCCAGCTACAAGTACCTCTTATGTGTTGTTCCTACACAACTGAAGCTGGGTCCTGAAGATAAAGCTGAGATCTCTCAAGGTGCTCTCTGGTGCTGTGTACTTTGCAGTCTCCTTTTGACTTTCTCTGATAACCACTTTGTGCTCTCATCAGTTGGTTATGCCTAAGGGGCAATGTGGCTCTCCAGGCAAGGGGAATGGGATGGCAACTGTTCCTAGTAAGACGGTTAATGTTTATTGTTCTCTTTGTACCTTGCTCTGATATAACGAGGGAGAGGGGCTGTGGTAAGGAGTCTGGATAGAGTCTTATCCTGATTCTCCGTGGCCTGGGGAATGCCCATGCTACCCCTATGCCTCTTTCCACACTGGGCATGAATGTATTTTTGCTTACTGCTGGGCAGGTGACTGATCACATTCTCTGGTCTTAATGCTGCTGCTTCTGGTTTCCTCCAGGTCACCCGACCTGCCTGCAGTTTACCCTGAACATGACCGAGGCTGTCAAGACCTACAAGTGGCAATGCATAGAATGCAAATCCTGCATTCTCTGTGGGACTTCGGAGAATGATGTGAGTTTGGAGCTTTCCTTGTGGGAGGGACAAATTCAAGGTACTGGGAATCCTCAAGGGGTGTAAAGGGAGGCAGGACTCTTTGTTACTGAGCTCCAACAAGATAGTCAGTAGTCTTATTCTTTGCCTCTACAACCTGTGGGACGCTTGCACCAAAGGGACCTTGGACACTCTTTGTACCTGTGGAAACAGATGTAGAAGGTGGCTGGCAGGGGATACTTGTGTGGCCATTTGCTCTTGACCTTGATACTTGGAAGCAACCTAGCCATTAGCTCCAGAGAGTGACCGACAATGGAGACCTTTGCTTATGGTAGGGATGTGCTTGGTTGTTTTTGCCATATTTCACAGTGCATAATGTCATTTTGGACTGCACATTAAATATGATAAATGTAGAACTTTTAAAAATCATCTATTTTATAGACAATTTCAAATACACACAAAAGTAAAAGAATAATGAAACTGGTGTATCCTGTCTCCAGCTTCAGGCATGGTCAATATACATCCAATTTTGCTTCAAAAAAATACTACTACTGTCTTCTTAATACAAGTCATAATGTCATTTCATCTGTAAATGTTTCATATGTATCTAAAATGACATGGACTTATTTTTGACCAAAGCAACCAAAATATTAACATAGCTAGAAAAATCAATAATTCCTTAATCAAACATTCAGTTAAATATTTATTTCTTCAATTGTCTTATAAATGTTTTTATTTGAACTGACATCCAAATATTGCACTGCATTGCAGTGTAGTTGATATGTCATTGAAGTTTCTTTATATCTATATGATCTGTATCTGTACCTATACCTGTATCTATCTGTCGTATAAATACTACATAGATTTCCTCCCATCTTGCTCTTTTTTCCCTTAAATTCTTTGTTGAAGAAATCAGATCATTTGTTCAATAGAGTTTCCATGACTGTGTTTTACTGAATGTTTCCTTGTGGAATTGTTTGACATTTCCTTCTGTCTTGTGTGTTTCTTATGAATTGGTAGTTAGGGCTGGAGGCTTGATTCAGGTATCTCTGTCTCTGTCTCATGAGCTCTCTCTGTCTGTCTCTGTCCCACTCTTTTCTAGCAAGACTCCTTTATAGATGACTGTGTATGCTTTTACCTGAGGGCATGTAATGCCCAGTCTCTCTTTTTTTGTGAAAGTGCATCCATTGATGACCTTCAGTTGGAGTGTCATCAGGGAAAGCAAAATGGAGATATCTTATTTGATAATTTTTGTTTATTAGCTGGGATAATCTCATAAAAAGAAACTTGCCCAAATTTGTAATTTGGTGTTAGATCATACAGAAAAAGCATGAAAAATGCTTGCTTCTTTCCTCCTATTGGTCTGCAAATTAGTATGGTAGTTAATGTACCTATCCATGAGAAAAACACTCAATAAAATAAGAATTTTGCTTCACCTTCTTTTTTTTTGTACCGGGGATCGAACTCATGACCATGCACTTGCAAGGCAAGTGCTTATGCCACTGAGCTAAGTCCCTGGCTGCTGTGCTGCTTAACATGAGAAAATATTTATATCTTAGAACTAAAGCCAGTATCTTATTAAGTAAGGAGAACACTAGAAGCATATCCATTACTAAAAGTGAGGCTTCTCACTGTGTTATCAACATTGACTAGAGACCTAGCTAGCACAATTTGACAGGAGAAACCAATTAGAGACTTGCTAATGGATCAGATGTATAAGCAGAACTAATAAAAAATGAGTCCAACATGTTACAAAATTTGAAGCATTTTTGAGTCCTAACATGATGCCACAAATAGAAAATATCACAACACAAAACTTAGCTTCATGCATAAAATCATCAAAAATATTATATAAAATTACTTCAGGCTATGTGTGTGAGATACATATAAAACATGAATGAATTTTGGCATCAGACATGGGTTCCAATGCCAGATATCTCAAAACGCATATGCAAATATTCTAAAATCTGAAAAAACCCCAAATCTAACGGCTTCTAAAATCTGAAACACTTTCAGCTCCAAACATTCCAAATAATTACTTGACATGTAATAAAACTTTCTTTATCTTCATATGATATAGCAGTACATCTGGAATACTTTGGAGAATCGATAATAATAAAAAACCGTGTGTGGTGACACATTTCTGTAATCCCCGTACTTGGGAGGCTGAAGCAGGGGTACTGCAAGGTCAAGGCCAACCTGGGATACAAGGTCAGTTCAAGGCCAACCTTAACTGCACAGTGAAATCCTGTCTCAAAAAAAAGAATGGGTTAACTCATATAAAAAAAATTAACAGGATATAAACTAACATACATAAATAATAACACATATTTGTATACAATAGCCAATTGGGGACCATAACTCCATTTATAATAGCAACAATAAGAAATACTTAGGAATATATTTAACAACAAATGTATAAAAACCTATATATAAAAAAATTGTAAGCACTTTTGAAAAGATTATAAGAACATCCTTTGACCTTAGATACAGTGGCCTAACATTATAAAGATGTCTGTCCTATCTAAGTTAATTTGCCAATTTGTTTCAGCACCAACAAAAATATAAACATGGGTTTTTATGGAGGTAGGCAATTAGAGACTTAAATTCACATGGGAAAATAAACACACAAGAATAGCCAAGAAGTACTGATAAACAAAACAGGATGAAAAGAGGCTCTCCCACACCTCTAAACCTACTGGACCCATCTTTTTATGAAGCAGTGTGCTATTGATGCGTAAGTAGATAAATAAACCAGTTGGAACAAAATAGAATAGAAATTCCATAAATAGACCCACCTACATATGGAAATATAGCATAAGATAAAGGTTGCATCTAAAATTACTGTGTCAAAGACAGACTTTTTAATGAATAATACTGGGACAGTGGAGTAGCCATTTGGGAAAATACAAAATTAGATTCATATCTCACACCAGACATAAGAACAATCTCCAAATAGATTGGGGATCTAAATGTAAAATGGAAAACCATGCCAGTGCTAGAATAAAACATGGGTGAATTCCTCTTTAATCTAAATATAAGGACAGGTTTTCTAACTGTGACTCAAAATCCAGAAGCAAAGAAGTAAAATGATAAATTAGACTCTATAAAACTTGCATATTCAGAAACATGATAAAGGCAAAAGATAACCAGAAAACTTGGAGAAAGTGTTTGCAGCATGTATCATAGAATAAGGGCAAACATCTCTAGTATTACAAAGAACTCTTTAAAAATCAGGGACAGAGGATCGTAAATCTGTTGGGAAATGAGAAAAATACATGAATGAAAATTGACCAAAGATACAAAAATGGCCCTTAAACTTATAAAATAAACATTCAGATGTACTCATAATTCAAGAAACACAAAACCAAGATACTATTTCTTATACATTTAATGGGTAAAAATTAAAAAAACTCATGATAATATCTTCTGTAATGAAACTATGGAAAAGCTGGTCTCTTATATTATTGGAGGGGATACAAAGTTAGTCCTGGGGGGAAATTGAAAATACCTAACAAAATTACTGTGCACTCATCTGTAGGACTTTATCCTGAAGCTATATCCCCAACACTGGAAATACATACGCATAAGGTTATTTATGATGGCATTGTATATAATTACAAAATATTGGAAGCAACTGCAATGTCCATTTATAGAGAACGGCGGGGTAGAAAATGACAAGGCCATAGGTTGTAATCCTATGAATCGAGAAAAACCAATAAGATGTCTATAGGTAGACGTGGAATAATTTACAGGATGTAGCATTAAGTGGGAAAAATCAATATAAAATGTAATATCTACCTGTAGTGTGCTGCCATGTGGTACGAAAAAGGAGATATAGGGAAACAGATAGACATTTGTGCACTTGTATAAAAGAAATACAGGAAGAACAAACAAAAAGCTAATGAGGGTGAGCAGGAATGGAGTGAGGAAAGAATAATGAAATCAGTACAAGGTCGTCGGGCTGGCGGAGGACCAACATTTCTTTGAGAATATCTCTTTCGTACAGCTCCGACTCCTAGAATCATGATAAAGTTTCACATCGTTACCAAATAAATAATTAAAATTATCCAGGATAGAGGAAAGCCTAACATGGAATACAAACACTAACAAATAAACCTGACTATAATATAAACAGATAACATAACCATAATGAATAGTGGGAGGAAATTAATTAACTTAACCTATTTTTGGAAACAGTATTTTGACTGTATTATAAGGCTAATGACAAAAAATAACTCCAACACAAACACTGTGCTGCCCCTAGTAAACTTGTTTTCATAGGAATATGAACTAGTAATTCTGAAACTGCTTTATGTGTACGCTGCATTTAACTACTAACTGTGTACTGTGACAAATGGGAGTCAGATTTCTCAATGTCAGAGCAAGAATGATCAAATAAATGGGAAGGCTTGACTGAACCCTGTGGTATTGAGGGTATCAGTATAAACTCATGGCTTTTACATATTAAGTATTTCTAGCTGTTCGTAGGGAAAGATGGGATCCTTAGGTAGAGTTATAGAGTAAGGGACCTGGCCCTTTTACAAGGGAGGAGAAAAGCAGCCTCAGTGACTAAGAGCAGGCAGTTTTGTGATTTACTTCTGAAGTAACAAGCCCACCACTCAGTAGACAACCTTGGACTGGCTCTGATAATGTTCCCCTCACCTCTTTGTGGTTTGAAATACTGAAATCTTCCTAAACTGTGTGCTATAATTACCTTGATGCATTTGTACCCTTAGCGATGAGCCTATTAAGTGCAGACCCTCTGGGGTACTGGACATGGCCTCTGTCCTGTAAAGACAGGAATGCTGCCCTATATCTAACGATCACCCATCTTGGAGCCCCATTCCTCAGAGTGGCTTTGAACAATTACTGCAATAAATTTGCCTTTCTTTGCTGCAGTAAATCAATTTTTACTCTGCACTGTGACTTCTGACTCCTCTTCCTCTTTCTACATCATAGAGAGAGAGAAACCTGAGAAAGTTCAAGGCTGGGCTGGTAACTTCAGACACATGGGATGC